GACGTGGCCGTGCAGGAGAGCGGCCTACTGATTGACCACGTTATTCTTATACAATGAGGTCATAAAACGGCTAGGCAGTAGACTGAGTGCCGTCATCTATTCTTCCCAATGGACGAGATATTAAGGGCAAGGAATACGTTCGCGATCATGCCGGGTGATTGCGCATTTGAATACAAATTGGCTGCTTTTCATGCTCCCCACGCCTCCAATCGGGTTATTTAACAACCAGCCTGGTTTAGTCCCTGTTCGACGGGGGAGAGCATCATCACCCGCGTTGTGGTGTTGAATGCTAGACAGCACGACCCGCATTTGCTAGCAGATGCGGAAGCGGGGGGGGGGAATAAGACAAAATACATAACCAACCCACCTCACCCCGTTTTCGTACCCTCCCATCCTCTAGCAGTTCCACCAGGTCCTGTGTGACGTGCGCAGACAGGCTGTTTAACCCCACGAACCACTTACTCCCAATCCCCGCATCAGATTACTGACCGGCTCGAGCAGTGTATTGGTGTCTGTGAGAGGGAATAGAGAGTGAGGTCGACCCTGAGGACTCCATCCCACAGCAGTCAGCGCATATTCCCCACTATAAACAAGCGGACGCGCTTTTAATCTATCACAATGCGCCAAGAGCTGTGATTTGGAAGGCTACCAACTGACGGGATTCAGGCTGCAATGGCTCCTTAATGTGGCCTTAATGGCACTCCTTCCCTGTTGGGATCCGAGCTGTCCACCATTTCCTGTTGTGTGAAATTGTGATCCTTTGTGCGTGGACCGGCGGACGTGGTGGAACACTGATGCGCGAATTCACGCTGTGTCAGCCATCTGCGCCTGATCCCACCTCCGGTCTTCATAACTCTGTCTTGACACCGGGCTCGGGTGGGTGAGGGAAGCAGGAGTGCGGCAGATACAGCGCAAGTCCACTATCACTATAAACTAACTCACGCGCCAGCCACCGACCCCGATGTGGGGCACATGGTGGACATTGTCACTGACAACAGTCAAACTGTCGGTCCGTCATTTTCCCACCGAAATAGTGACGTAAGTGTTTTTAGGTGGCATCCAGTATAAAACTAGCTACCAGTTCCCCGGCTGATTAGAGCTTACGAAATATTCTGAGAAACATTGACACTTGCATAAACTCTCTTTCCTAGATTACTTGGATGGCGAATTCTGCACTGTTTTCTCAGCGACCTAATGGTAATTCTACTCTACTATCATCTCATCTGGCAGGATCAGGTACTTGCGTAAATGTACTCATCAGCCGCCAGCACCGTAATGTAGCCAGTTTGAAGGATTGGGATGCTAATCATAGTGAGAATAAGGTCCTCGGGTAGCACAACCCCAAAAGGGGTACATTGAACGGACTGGCGCGTAAACGGGCCGAAACCTGCGACACGGTGTTCTCTAATAGATGTACTTGCTGTATGAAAATTCAAACATGGAATGAGCATGTTTCAACGATCGAATCTTCATCTTCAGTTGGGGCAGTTCAAGCTCGACCGGTCACTATGAGATGGACATCTAAATGCTCCGCCAAAAAGTAAATCTAAGTGGACATCTGATCGAAAAAAATCGTCCGGAGTAAACGCAAATACCTGTTCAGGGGAGGGCCTACGAGGATTTAATTGGCCCCCTTCGCTCCCTATTTACACTTACAGGATTCACCGTCGGTATCAGTAGGGACCAGAATTCGCATCCATAGAGCACGATAGTTCCGTATGTGGTCATATACACACCATCCTTTGTCATCTGATGCATCTGGCGGCTAGACCACAACCACTTACGGATAAGACGGGGCACGTGGCGAAGAACGTGCATCCGACGGAAGGCGAACATCTTAATTGGTCTTATTCGCATGCAGTTTTTTCACAGGCCACCTACTGAACTAATTCCCTTAACCCCTTCCATTTGCTGGTTGACCATCTCACCGCTCATCACTTTGTCCGCACAGGATGCGGAGTACGCCCACCTGGAACGGATGTACGACTTTCTCGCCCGGTATAGCTCCTCATCAGACTCTGGCCACCACTCCCTGGCACGCCTCTGCTCTGAATTCGACTCCAGGCGCGCGAAACTCACTCCCAGTGATCTGAGCACTATGCTGGTGGCAGAGCGAGGTACCGGCACCCAAGAACCCCTGGTCGCGGCCTTTGAGGACGTCGAAGTCGCCGCCGCTTTCAACGGTCTGTCTGCCAGTGCCGACGTCGGTAGTGGCAGCGCTAAGAACA